CATCCATCCGTCCATCCGTCCATCCGTCCATCCACCCACGGACTTCTGCTTTCTGCTAGCGGCTACTGTAATTCTGCAAGAGACATGAGGTTGCATACCTCTTCGGGATCCTACTTCAAATTCCTTTGGGTTTATATCTAGAAGTGAGGTTGGTGGCTCATGATGATTCTAACTTTTGAGGAGCCTCCATACTGTTTTCCAGAGCGGTTGCACCAGTCTGCATTCCCACCAATGGTGCACAAGGGCTCCTTTCCTCCACAACCTTGCCAGCACCTGCTATTTCTCGAGTGTCTGTCCTAGTGGGAGTGAACTTGTAGTGGATTTCTCTATAGTACTGATTTTCTGCATCTTCTCATGTGCCTGGTTGGTTATTTGTGTATCTTCTTTGGATAACTGTTCCAAGTTTTCTGCCTTTTTTGTTTGTTTGTTTATTTTTGAAAGAGAGCATGAGCCAGGAAGTAGAGAGAGCAGAACAGAGGATCTGAAGCAGGCTCCACAGTGACAGCAGAGAGCCCGATGCAGGGCTTGAACTCATGAACCATGAGATCATGACCTGAGCCAAAGCTGGATGCTCAACTGACTGAGCCACCCAGGGGTCCCACCTTTTTTTTTTCTTTTTTAAATCCAAGTTAGTTAACATACAGTGTAGTAACGATTTCAAGAACAGAATTTAGTGGTTCATCGCTAACATATGACAGCCAGTGCTCCTCCCAGCAAGTGCCCTCCTTAATACCCATCACCCCTTTAGTCCATCCCCCAACCCAGCACCCCACCAGCAACCCTGTTTGTTCTCTGTGTTTAAGAGTCTCTTATGGTTTGTCTTCCTGTTTATATTTTTCCTTCCCTTCCCCTATGTTCATCTGTTTTGTTTCTTAAATTCCACACGAGTGAAATCATGGATCTGTCTTTCTCTGACTTGTTTTGCTTAGCATAATACACTCTAGTTCCATCCACGTTGTTGCAAATGGCAAGATTACATTCTTTTTGATCGCCTAGTAGTATTCCATTGTGTGTGTACACACACACACGCACACACACACGTGTTTATCCATTCATCAGTTGATGCACATTTAGGCTTTTTCCATAATTTGGCTATTGTTGATTATTCTGCTATAAACATTAGGGTGCATGTGCCTTTGAATCACCATTTTTGTATCCTTTGGACAAATTCCTAGTAGTGCAATTGCTGGGTTGTAGGGTAGTTCTGTTTTTAACTTTTTGAGGAACCATCATACTGTTCTCCAGAATGGTGGCACTAGTTTGCATTCCCACCAGTAGGGCAAAAGAGTTCCCCTTTCTCCACATCCTCACCAACATCTGTTGTTGCTGGAGTTGTTAATTTTAGCCATTCTGTCAGGTATGAGGTGATATCTCCTTGTGGTTTTGATTTGTATGTATTTCCCTGATGATGAGTGATGTCGAGCATCTTTTCATGTGTCTTTTGGCCATCTGGATGTCTTCTTTGGAAAAATGTCTATTCATGTCTTCTGCCCATTTCTTCACTGGATTGTTTTTTTGGGTGAGTTTGGTAAGTTCTTTACACATTTTGAATACTAACCCTTTATCTGATATGTAATTTGCAAATATCTTCTCCCATTCTGTTGGTTGCCTTTTAGTTTGTTGATTGTTTCCTTTCCTGTGTAGAAGCCTTTTATCTTGATGAGGTCCCAGTAGTTCATTTTTGTTTTTGTTTCCCTTGCCTCTGGAGACATGTCAAATAAGAAGTTGCGGCAGCCGAGGTCCTGTTTTCCCCTCTAGGAATTGGCTTCCTGTCTCACCTTTAGGTTTTTCATCCATTTTGAGTTTATTTTTGTATATGTTGTAAGAATGTGGTCCAGTTTCATTCTTCTGCACATTGCTGTCCAGTTTTCTTAACACCATTTGCTGAAGAAATGGTCTTTGTCCATTCGATTATCTTTCCTGCTTTGTCAAAGATTACTTGGCCATATGTTTGTAGGTCCATTTCTGGGTTCTCTATTCTGTCCCATTGATCTGAGTGTCTGTTCTTGTGCCAGTACCATACTGTCTTGATGATTACAGCTTTTGAATACTTTTAAAGTCTGGAATTGTGATGCTTCCAGCTTTGGTTTTCTTTTTCAGGATTGTTTTGGCTATTCGGGGTCTTTTCTGTTGCTATACAAACGTTAGAATTGCTTTTTCTACCTCTGTGAAGAATGGTGTTATTTTGATAGAGATTGCATTGAATATGTAGATTGCTTTGGGTAGTATGGACATTTTAACGATATTTGTTCTTCCAATCCATGAACATGGAATGTTTTCCCATTTTTTTGTGTCTTCTTCAATTTCTTTCATAAGTTTTCTATAGTTTTCAGTGTATAGACTTTTCACCTCTTTGGTTAGGTTTCTTCCTAGGTATTTTATGGTTTTTGGTACACCTTTTTTTCCTTAAGTAGGCTCCATGCCCAGCATGGAGCTCAATGCAGGGCTTGAACTCAGGACCTGAGATCATGACCTGAGCCAAGATTAAGAGTCAGATACTTAACTGACTGAGCCACCCAGGCACCCCTTCTGCCCATTTTTTAATCAGATAGTTGTAGTTGGTTGTAGGAGTCTCTTAAATGTTCTGGATATTGGGGCGCCTGGGTGGCGCAGTCGGTTAAGCGTCCGACTTCAGCCAGGTCACGATCTCGCGGTCCGTGAGTTCGAGCCCCGCGTCGGACTCTGGGCTGATGGCTCAGAGCCTGGAGCCTGTTTCCGATTCTGTGTCTCCCTCTCTCTCTGCCCCTCCCCCGTTCATGCTCTGTCTCTCTCTGTCCCAAAAAAAAATAAAACGTTGAAAAAAAAATTTAAATGTTCTGGATATTAATTTTATAAGATAAATACTTGCAAATGTTTTCTCCCATTTCCTAAAGCTATCTTTTCACTGTTATTTCCTTTGAAGCACAGAGATTTGACATCATCCCATCTATCTTTTTGTTTTTGTTACCTGCACTTTCCAGCTCCAGAATACTGGGGGCACCTTTTTCTTTCTTTTTTTTTTTTTTTTTTTTTTTTTTTTTTTTTTTGCTGGTATTTCTATTTTGTTCATACTGCACTTTCTGGACTCTGTGCATGTTTTCCTTTAACTGAGTGTCTTTATGATGGTTGTTTTAAAGTTTTTGTCTGGAAAGTCCACCATCTCATCCTCCTAAGAGACAGCATTTTTTCCTTTAATGGGCCATATTCTACTTTCCTGCTTTTTTAAAGTATAACTTGTGATTTTGCTGACAACTGGACATTTGAATCTCATCATGTGGTCACTCTGGAAATCAGATACTCTCCCTTCACCAGAATGGCTGGATTTTTTTGATTGTTGTAAGGGTGTGCCATGCCAGCCAGAGGTGAAAACTCGAAGTCGTCTCAGTTCTTCTCTGAGTACATGTCCTTCCCTGGGCAATTGTTCCAAATTCCCTTGAACATGCATTTGTTCTTCTAAGTCCTAATCCTTAAATGTTTGATCCACAAAAGAAGTACAGCAGGACAAATACAAAAGAAAAAGAAACAAGAACTGGCCTTTTAAACTCCCTGAAGCAGATTCAGGGGATGGGACTATAAGAATGGGAGTCTGTCCCTGTCTACACCTCCGCCACCAAAAGCAGCAATCCACAGTCTAAACCTAGAACCCCAATCTGTGGGGGACAAGGTTCTTAGCACCCACTTCGACACCCACAAGCAGCCACAGTGACTACCACAGGGCTGGGGTGGGGGATATGTGAACATTAAGCCATAAGGGCTAAAACGGACCAAAATTAACGGATTTGCCAGCCTAGTTCTTCCCTGCAAGACATGAGCCTCCAGAGAGACTTGACTTCCAGAACAGTTACCACAGGCAGATTCTCTGCGCCCCTGCGAAGAGATGGGCTCCTGGGGCCTCCCCAACAGCACATGCGTTTGTTTCTCCTCATGAGATCTTAACGAATCTTTTCAGCACACATAACACGAAAACCTTACTTTGTATCCCCAAAATGCAGCAGCTCTTAGACACACCTGTGCTGTAAGAAGAAAATGTCATCACATTACGGAAGACAGAAGCCCGTCCCACACTGCACAGTCACCAAGTGCTCTGCCCTGGGAGGCGCGCTCCCTGAGACTATGTGGGAAGTGGTGACAACAGCACTGTTTTAAGGTCAAGAAATGTTTTAAGCACTTAATACTCTGACACACTAACTTCCCACATCGCACTGTGGGGGTTCTGAGCTGACACATACGGCACAAATTCCACTCAGAGTAACTGAAAACAGAGCCCAGGAGGGGATTCTGCGGGAGTGTTAGGGTGTCTGCTTCTCTGAACATATGCAGTTCAGGGTTCCCCCAGCAGGGGACGCCCAGCTCAATTGCTACAGTGCCTGAGGCAACATTTTACCCCACAAAAAAGTGTTTTGTTTTGAAAAACGAAAGAATTTTTCTCCCTTTTCATTTGGCCAAATTGACAGTGATTTGTAACTAAAAAACAAAAAAACCCAAAAAAACAAACTAAATCAACCAAAACCACTTTCTTTCAGAAGTTTATTTTAGATAAACTAATTGAAAATAGATTGCAACGACGCACACGTTGTACAAAAAAACTAGAAAATAATCTAGCACTGGTATTCACTCTTACATTTGCAGGGCAGGGCCGCCAACCTTCTGCCCACGTCTGCAAGGAGATGCTTTCTTTGCGAGACTATACACATACACAAACCAAAGTTCCCTCTTGCAGAAGAAAGTAAGACTCTTCTCCATCAAAACAAAAATTTGCATCAATCAATCTTTCCAGTTTTGCAGACCTGAAGCAATCGGAACCCCAACAAATGCAGAAATCACAGTCGGCTCAAGGTACCTTACCATCATTGCGGTGACAAACGTCTCCCACACCTGCACACCCCAACATACAGCAAAGCAACAAGCCCGTCAGGTATGTCATCGCAATTTTCAGTTTATAGCCAGGACTCCCGTTTCGTGAAACTGGACCAGACCAGGAAACTAACAGTCTGGCCAAACCATCTCAGCTGCAGAGGACTCTACCTCCTGTCCTTTTTTCCGGCTTTCCTCTTTCCGGAGAGTAAGTGCTTGGGCTTCATATCAAACACATGTCTGTCTGCTTCTCCTTTCTTTCCCAGGCGGTTCATCTTCTTCTGAGCATTTTTCATCATAGTCTTGGCTTTCTTCACCATCTGGAAAGCAAAAGGACACACGTTAGCTGCTGAGTGTCTGTGTGCTTTTTCATTACCAGTTAAGAGCAGGTCTTAAGTGTCCAGATCTACTCTGTGAGAAGTGCTGGCAAGTCCCTCTGTTACCCACCGTGTCTGCAGGAACTCAACTGTCTGCACAATGAGAATGAAGATGGGAATGAATGTTATTTCTAGACAAGCTCTGTGCCTAGAAGAACCTGGAAGATTAGGGGATATCTGCTGTAACTCCCTCTTAGGGACACACAAGAAAACAGAGAACCAGCCCACGAAACTATACTCACATCGGACAAACGATAATGCCAGTATTAAAATCCAGATTTCTAGAAGGAAAAGGCATGGTGGAAGGGAAATCCCAAGTTTCCATCAAGTAGACTGTTGGCCAGTTTATATACAGACTTTCTCTCGTACCTGAATTTTCAAAATGCTGAAACTAACAATTTTTGTGTTCATTTAATTTAAATAGTTTCAGCAAAAGAGACTGTGTACATCCAAAATGTCTTTCCTAAAAGACTGACCCAGGGGCGCCTGGGTGGCGCAGTCGGTTAAGCGTCCGACTTCAGCCAGGTCACGATCTCGCGGTCCGGGAGTTCGAGCCCCGCGTCGGGCTCTGGGCTGATGGCTCAGAGCCTGGAGCCTGTTTCCGATTCTGTGTCTCCCTCTCTCTCTGCCCCTCCCCCGTTCATGCTCTGTCTCTCTCTGTCGCAAAAATAAATAAATGTTGAAAAAAAAAATTTTTAAAAAAAAAAGACTGACCCAAACAGCTCCTTCTGGGCTGGGTCCCTGCAGGGTCTGGTTGTAAGGTGGGGGCTTGGGACTCCAGGTGCTGAGCAAGCAGTTTCCTAGCTTGTTCCCGCATGGCTGGCCTGCGGCTCAGACCACCTGGTGCCCTGTGACACCATGCTTCTGTCTACCCCTGAGAAAGGACACCAGTAAGGAATGGTGCACCTAGGGAAGGGTCCAGAACACCCAGCTTGTCTCTCAGGGGCATAAGCACCCACCTACGGTCCCCACCTTCTAAACAGTAGCTGCGGGTATGTGCCCTGAGCCCTGGAGTCATCAACAGTAGAGACCACTATTTTTTATTGCACATCACAGGGGACTAACCTTGACGTCCCGAAGGCCGGAGACATCCCGTGGAGTCCGAGAGCAGCTGCGGCTCCGGGTTACTGATGTGGGTGGAACAGAGTCATCTCGTTTTCTCTTCCTTGTAACACTCCGGGACCTTCTGGCCTGGACTGCATAATGGGCCTGGGAAGCATAAACAGCAAATTCAGTGCTGCCTGAACCCAGCCTGGCTCCCAGGCTTGGTGACAGACGAAATCACACCAACAAGGAGACAGAACACTCAGGAGTTTTTAATGCCATTATCAAATAAACTAAAGCTCTTTAAAATTATATAGTTGGGGCACTCACTTTCAAATGTCCCCTCTCTGTAAAGAGATTTCATACTATTCTTCCTTTCTGATCTTCTCTTATACTCTAATGAACTTTTGCCTCATTAAAAAAAAAAAAATACACACACACATACACAGAGTTAACTTTACATTATTCGTCAAACATACTTTTTCACTTAATGTGGCTGCTTTATGTTACAAGCGACTGTAACTCCATTAAAAACCGTTTACCTAACGCTGGCCATTCCTCAATACTGTCCTTTCCCCTAGGTGGTGAAACTAGCATCCTAACTGCTATTTTCGCTGTAGTGTGTCCTCTCTCCCCAGCTTTGGGGCCATCTACCTGAACACAGGGACAGCCCTCAGGAAGCTCAGCGCTGAGGTGAAGCAAAGCCTGCCCCTGGGAGAGGCCGCTGTGCTCGTGCTGGCGGGCGCCTCACTCACCCATGTCCTGTCCCCAAAGAACAAAACACCTGGACAGGAGCACAGGCAGTTAGCCTGCAAAAACGAACAGTCAGAAGTCAGACGCTAATGGATGTTCATTAAAATAACGCTTCAGGGGCGCCTGGGTGGCTCAGTCGGTTGAGCGTCTGACTACGGCTCAGGTCACGATCTCGCGGTCCGTGGGTTCGAGCCCCGCGTCGGGCTCTGGGCTGACAGCTCAGAGCCTGGAGCCTGCTTCCGATTCTGTGTCTCCCTCTCTCTCTGCCCCTCCCTCGTTCATACTCTGTCTCTCTCTGTCTCAAATATAAATAAAACATTTAAAAAATAAATAAATAAATAAAATAAAATAACGCTTCAGGCTAGCAGTGTAGTCTCAAACGTTGCTAATTAAAATCCAAATTAGTCTAACCCCTTTGGAAAGGACCTGTAACACAATTTGTCTTTTGATTTTGGTTATTCCAATTCTAGAAATGTTTTGAAAAAATAATCCAGAATATGCAAAAGTTATCTCAGACAAAAATGAATATGCTCCAGCATAATTCATCAAAGAAAAGACCAGAATTCCAATAGTTATCTGAAACCCCTTCTAGTCTTTGGGCTCCCAGGAAAACAGGTCTGAACTATTCACAACCTAAGCCCGTCTTGTGTTAACTCAACAAACCCTCATGTATCTGGTCGCTAAATAGAACCTAAGATGCTCCATGAAGACTTCAGTCACCAAAATCAAAGTTCAAGTAAAAAATATAAAAAATAAGCTTATGTTTTGTTCTCTGACATTCTATTCCAATTTGTATTCTTACCAGACACTAATTCCAATTTATTGTGTATTTCTTACACATCACCGTATATTCTGAGTTAACAGCAAATGAATTTTTTAAAAATTAGATTTAGTATTTTATTCTGGAAAAATCATTTGACAATATTGAAGCTAAATATTAAGTGTACACCTAGAATTTAGTAAACTTAATTTAAAGAATCAGAATTAAGATTAAACAGCATTAAAAAGAGTGGACAAGGGAGGTTGGAGGGAAATGGGCCCACATAGTCTATGTGCTAGAGGTGGAGGACACATCAGGGACATCACGCAAAATGCTCAGTGAGCCAAACAGAATGAATTGGTATGTGATGATTATTCATAGTGTTATGTATGCAACTGAAAATCTCACCAGTTTTCAAATGCTAGAGATTTCATGACTAGTGGCTGGATAAAGAACAAACAGTAACCTCCTAACACTCAAACTCTGTCATGTTCCCCAGAGGCAAAATGACGTGCTAAATGTGAGCTTAGATATTTATTCATTTACTTACGTGTAGTATATTCCTTCTTCTTAGTAGCTTTTTTTCTCCACTATGTTTTTGTTTTTTGTTTTGTTCATGGAGATGAAAATTGGCAATATGTAAGATTACTGAAGTATAATGATAGATTTTTGAACACAGAAATGGGACCATTTAAATTATTTCCCTGCATATTTTTCATAATTGGGATGGACAAGAATATGTCATATAAAATTGGAAAAAAAAATTGGAAACTCAGATTTTACTAGTAGTGAATAGTGTCATTTAGATGGAATGTCAACTTCAAACAATGAGAAATTCATGTATTGGCTCTTTGAATTAAACTCAGTGGCTTGAGTTGAATTTACAGTAATGCCAAATAAATGGTTTTATGAAAACTGAAGAATTGTCTTTCCTATTTTCTACATTGTAAAATATCCTGTACCTTTTGCTTTTTCCCTTCAGAGTATTCCAAATCTATCATTCAGCTATTAGTATGTTATCAACCTATTCTGGAATATACTTTGCTCTCAAAATTGACTCTGTTGAAATTTCTTGGCAAGTTAACTTTTAAAATAAAGCTTGCCCTAAGACTTTTAAAAGTAAAAGTGGGCATCTATGTGGATAAACTAATATTAAGTTCATTACCATCATGTAAAATTTCACAAGAGTTGATGATTATTTCATTTGAGATAAGATATGATCTTCACACCTGAGATAAGACCTCAGATGCAACCATAATTAAAATTCTATTTTTTCATAGATACATCTTTCAATATGTATGTCATTTAGAAAAATATCTTATATATAATAGGATTATTAAATTCTTCCTTTCATACAACATAAGTTGAAAATTCTTCCTTTTATAACAACGTAAGTTGAAAATTTTCTCAAATATTTGTTCCAAATTTTCTGGATTTTATAAATCATTTCCAGAAAAGTCTCAGGTATTTTGTTATAACTGTCTTTTGAATCAGTACTTAATGCTTTTTTTTTGAGTTCTATAACTTTGAAGATTATTATTATTTTCAATTATAACAGTGAATAAATTCTTTTTTTTTTTGTTTAATTTACATCCAAATTAGTTAGCATATAACAGCAAATGAATTTCTGAACAGCAACCAAACTGAGGTCTAAAAGAAACTAAAATTTTTTACTCAAAAAAATGTGAAAAATTACCCCAAAATAAAAAACACTTGGGGCGCCTGGGTGGCTCAGTTGGTTAAGCGTCCAACTCTTGATTTCAGCTCAGGTCATGATCTCACAGTTTTGAGCTCAAGCTCTGTCGCATGGAGCCTGCGTGGGACTTTCCCTCTTTGCCCCTCTCCTACTCACTCTCTCCCAAAATGAATAAACTTCAAAAAACAAAAAAATTTGCTTATACATCAGTGAAATATAGACACGATATACAGAATATGGTTATAACTACATCTTAAAGAAACAAAGATTAAAGCCCTCTGCAGAAAAAATTAAATAAAAAGATACACACGGCATGTTAACCTAGATTATTTTTGTGTACTGTGAACAAAAGTGATTTCTTTCTTTCTTGTTTCTGGTATTTTTCGTATTTTCATTAACCTGAAACAGAATTCGATGTATACATACACAATGAAATATTAAAAAAAAAAAAAAAAAAGAGAGAGAGAGAAAGAAGAAAGTGCAGAGGCCACCTCACACCATTGATGTTATTACTGAAACATCACCGTAATGCCCAGGAGCAGTCCGATGCTCAGGGATGACTTTTAATGCAAAACGATGGGAGTGTGCAAGGCATTCTTAAATTCTCACGTGGTGAACAAGAATGGAGTATGATGAAGACACCCCTGCATTAGCAGCACAGTCCCTTGAGCTGAGTGTCCTGAGCTGTCCCACGGGGCATATGGACAGCAGTGGGACAAACACGTTCCATTCTCAGCCAGCCACTTCCAGTGACACTCCTCAACAGACATACTCAAAGTTCATATCTCTTCTTTGATCACGTCTGTAACCCCCCAGGTTTCTAAGAGTCTAGTTTTCGAAGGCAAAGCTGTACATGTCCACATACGTATGTGACTGAGACCATCTGCATGCACTTACATTGTCTTTGTCATCCATGTCAACACCGAGACTGCGCATCTCACTCTCCAAGACTTTCCGCTGAACCTAAACACAGGGGAAAAGGTATGTTTTAAGAAAAATTAGTTTGATAAGATGCTTAAAAAAAATTTCACAGGAAAATGTACCTTTTACAATTATCTATGATACGTTTCTTTTAGAAATTATATCTTTTAGGGGTGCCTGGGTGGCTTGGTCGGTTAAGCGTCTGACTTCGGCTCAGGTCATGATCTCACGGTCCGTGAGTTTGAGCCCCACGTCGGGCTCTGTGCTGACAGCTCAGAGCCTGGAGCCTGTTTCAGATTCTGTGTCTCCCTCTCTCTCTGCTCCTCCCCTGTTCATGCTCTGTCTCTGTCTCAAAAATGAATAAACGTTAAAAAAAAAATTAAAAAAAAAAAAAAAGAAATTATATCTTTTAATTGGGCCCATGTTCATATTTTTGGACAGTTCACTGAAGCCCATGGAAACCAGTATCTCCCAGGCTGTGACTATGTGCAAGACGACATACACTTCATGACCTTGAATTCTGCACAACTCTGCAAGGGTCTCTGCATGCAAGGATCACTGACGCTGAGGTAACATGACATGCCCCAAGATGCAGACTCCAGCGACAGCAGCTTCTCCCAAACTCACTGAGCGCCACTGGGGAAACAGATGGAGGTCTTGCCTACCAAGAATCACTCATTTGCCATCATGTGAAAAGAGTACTTCAGACACACTAATGCGAAAGGTATCTGCCCTAACCATCATCCTGTCTTTGGGAAGCTTACCCCCCACTGTCACATCCTGTGGTTTGAGGGTGACCACAGGACCTGGCCTCACCTGCCACCCTGACAAAAGCATGGGGCAGGAGAGAAAAAGACCTACAAAGATGGAGCAGAGACTGAAAAGAATTCTGACATCATTTGACTCATTTGTGCCTGAAGTGTGACTCTCCCTGTCCTAACTAGTCACAGGAGTTAACATGTTGCTTGAGGATTTAAGCTGCCTTGCGTTAGGTTGCTGTAAATTGCAAAGAGGAGCACTAACTAGTAAAGAAGTTAATAAGAACATGTTAAATGATGGCTTTACTGTCACAAATTACGAATCACAATCTCAATCTGCACAACTGCAGAGAGGCTGAACCCAACAATGCTGAGCCTGGATGTCAGCAGGAAGGGTGCCATCAGCAGAATAAAAAGATCAGGGCTCGACCAACCTCAAAAGTCAGTACGTATCACCAAACCAAGTACGTGCAATCCCATGGCCACGTCTAGGCTGACATGCTGCTTTTAGCAGGGCTGTGCAAGAATCCAAAGCTGCAGAAACCCATCCTGCTGCTCTGGAAGCACAGAACTTGCCTTCTTAGCGGTTCGAGGCATCCTGGGCCCCTGTGTGTTCTTCTCCTTGGACTGCAGAATTTTCAACTTCCTTTTTTCCCGAATTTGCTTTGCCAGCTGGCGGATCTCCACCATCTCCTCGTCCTCGCTGTCGGATTCGCTGTCATATTCGCCTGCCGCCGTTCTCAGCTCTTCTTCTTTTTCTAACTCCTCCAATTTCTTGAAAAGGAATTAAACAAACTCAACAATGAAAACCTCGTGAGCGTAGCCACGTTCATGTGCCTCTCAGGGGCAGTAAGCGCCCGCGCCTGGCTCCACACAGGATGCCCCAGAACTCAGCTCCCAGCAAACGGCACCTGGGAGGAAATGAAGACCGTGCAGCACTAAGCCCACGGCACCCCGTGAGCGCTTCTATGTTGTCTCCTTCTCTTCACCAATTACTCCAGACATTGAGGGGACACGTGCACATGACACCTCCCTTGTTCCCCAGCACTCCCAACAGACCCAGGACAGAACCTCTGTCCTTGAAGAACTAAGAACTCATCTATGTGAGCTGACATAGGCCTCTAATATCCCATTCATCCACTCTGAGGCCATCCTCAAACACAAGCCAACACAAGCCAACACCACCGCTGGCTGTACAGTTCAAATAAAAAGAAGTTACAGGGTGCCCGGCAGGCTCAGTTGGTGGAGCATGACTCTTGATGTCAGGGTTCTGTCTTCAGGCCCCACACTAAGTATACAGATTACTTAAAAAATAAAATCTAGAAAATAAAAGAACAAATTACGTACGCACGAATACCCTCTATAACCAAGCAAAGAAACCCTGACAGCAATGCTGTAGTCAGATGCGGCCATGCCTTGGCTGATGTGAAAAGCACGGAGGGAGGGAGGTGGGCAGGAACGGGCAGGCCAGTTGCAGGCTGCGAACCCACAGGCTCAAAATGGACATCACCCAGAGAGCGACAACGAGGAGGCACATGTAGAGTATGAAGGAGGCTGTGACCTGGCTCCTGAGCCAGGAGCATGGACCGTGCGTGAGCAGAGCACAGGTGCACAGCTCGGACACAGGCAAGGAGGAGAACCAAGCACCAGAGAGTACAGAGGATTCAAGGAAACGAGGAACAGGAACAGGGATGAGGAGGTTCATGTAGGGTTTCCTCCTTGGAGACCCGCAGACTGAAATGGTACAAGGGCAGCATCCAGGAAGGAAATGAGGGAGTGTTGACGGGAAACACTGTTTTTTCAAAAAGCTTCACTGAGGAGAGAAAGGCAGCAGAGCAATGAAAGAAGGACCCAGGGCTTAGGAAAAGTTTTGTTTTGGGGCGCCTGGGTGGCGCAGTCGGTTAAGCGTCCGACTTCAGTCAGGTCACGATCTTGCGGTCCGTGAGTTCGAGCCCCGCGTCAGGCTCTGGGCTGATGGCTCAGAGCCTGGACCCTGTTTTGGATTCTGTGTCTCCCTCTCTCTCTGCCCCTCCCCCGTTCATGCTCTGTCTCTCTCTGTCCCAAATAAATAAATAAACATTGAAAAAAAAAATTAAAAAAAAAAAAAAAAAAAAAAAAAAAAAAAAAAAAAAAAAAAAGAAAAGTTTTGTTTTTAAAGTGAAAGGACCCGTGGACACCACAGGCTAAGCAAAGGTCCAGGAGAGGAGAACAGGCTGGGTTGGAGGACAGGGGCTCGTGGCCACCGGAACGCACCTGCCCCACAGAGGCGGCCGTGGCCGAAACCGCACAGGGAGCAGAGCCTTGGAGGGAGAGGCTGTTAGTGACGGCTGGAGAAGCTCACGGCGCATAAGGAATGAGGGCAGCACGTACGGCTGGGCAGACAGCTGTGGTTGTGCGATCAGGGACACAGAAGTAATAAAAATCACATAATACAACAGGAGACACAAACCTGCATGATGTCGGGGTCGATGTAATCAGCTATATTGTGGCCTTCCCAGATCTCGGGTATCTTATCATGTTTCTCAGAAGAGTTCATTAGATCCCAGTACTCTGAGGTTGAAAAAAAAGTTATGTTCACTGCAGTTTTTAATACCTTCAAGCACCATGTGCCCAAAATGAGTTCTTACACACATCGCTCCATGAAGACAACAGAGTGCCTGCACATAACACCCCAGAACAGCACAGCAGAGGGTCTCCAAATACCTCCTGGGTCGCCCAGCACCTTGGGACCACGGGCCGAGCGGGGGCAGGGGGGACAAAGGCAGCAGTGGCCCCAGCACCTGCACCATGCACGCTGCAAACCACCCTCCTCCTGAAGCCACAGAACCACCCACACACAGCCTCATCTCTAAGAAAGAGATGAAGGTACAGCCACAGGGCAAGAGGGCACTGAAGCCCTCCCACAGCGTCCCGACAGGGATGCTGGCCCTTACTCTGAAGGTCCAAGATGTAGTCGTCTCCCAGCTCTACTTCAAGGTCTCGTTCCTGAAACCAAAGAACAGATAACTCTATCAGCTCCTGCCAGCATTCCAGGCGCATGAACGCCAGGCACCCCCTTGCCCCAGGAGACAGCCTCCGCCCTAAGCTGAGAGCCCGTCCCTCTAATGCCTGTGCAGCCCGGCCATTCCCGGCTGGCTCTACGGCTCACATCCACGCAGTGTCCACAGCCACCTCCCTCCCACTCACGAGGGAAGGGGCCTTCATCGGCCACAGCTGTGGTCACAGAGCCTGAGGGTAAAGGCCAGGACACCTTCAGTGCCCACACATGGCCTTCTGCACCCGCGAGAGTAGACCTACCCGCTTCTTCCTGGGCTCCCCAATGTCCATTCTCTTCCTGCGCGCCACCACTCCCTCAGGGATGAAAGGGGGCCTTTCCTGAGGAGACATCACCAGAAAGAGTGACATGAAACACCTTGCTGAATGCAAAAGGAACATGAGAGTGAAAAGCCAGAGGCACGCTCTCCGTCTGCAAGGGCAAGGTGAAGCCAGACCAACTCAGAACCAACAGACTGGGGGGCGGAGCAGGGCCAGCTGGGCACGGAAACCAGGAAGACTCCACAGCTGATCCAAAGTTTATCTAGAAAAAATAAACACCAAGACTCTCGAGAAAATCATGAACAAAAGTGATACAAGAGAAAAACAAAGCAGACAACAGAAATCTAGACACGAAGCAAGTCCATACAAGAAGGCAACGAAAACATAGAGTATTCGAATCTCAGTCCTGAGATTAAGGACTAGCCAGGCAAAAACAGAGCTGGGTGGCTGCTTCTACCTGCTGCCTAAGAACAAATCAAATGCAAGACTGAGCAAAAACTTCTGTTCAAAACAGGTAAAATTAAGATAATTAAGTACAGGACAAAGTATAGGAGAAAAATATTATCAAGATATTTTTGGAATGAACGGGAGGTCTTTCTATGCAGGACACAAAACCTAGTTACCGTAAAAAAATATTGATATTAGCTAACAGCATATATTAGAAAATTATTAAATATTCATAGCATATATTAAAAACATATAATTTCTTTGAAGCTGAGAAAGAAAACCCAAATCAAAAAGCAAATGACAAAAAAAAAACAAAATCCACAGAACATACAAGAGTCTGGGGGTGCCTGAGTGGCTCAGTCAGTTGAGTATCTGACTCTTGACCTCAGCTCAGGTCTTGGTATCAGGGTTGTGAGTTGAGCCCCACAAAGGGCCCCAATTTGGGCATGGAGCCTATTTAAAAAAGAACATATAAGAGTCTCATTTCCTTAAGATAAAAATTATAAATTAAACGAGTAAAAGATAAATGACCTGAGGAACTAATAGGCCAATAAGTACATGAAAAATGCAGGCTTGGCAGGGCACCTGGTTGGCTTGCACAGTGGAGCCTGCAACTCTTAATCTCAGGGTTGTGAGTTCAAGCCCCATGTTGGGTGTAGAGATTATTCAAAAATAAACTGTTCAAAAATTTAAAAAAATGCTTGCCTGAACTGATCATTAAAGGAACCACCGATTAAACTGACAGCAGCCAATGATGAGGGGACGCGGAGCATATCCCAGGAAGGCATTTCTGGGAGACAATGTCATTCTCAATGGCCTACTGAAAACGCACTCTGCAAATAAAAGACTTATGCACAAAGACATGCGACAGAGCACTGTTTGTAACAGCAAGAAAACAGAATAATTTTAAAGAATGTAACACACGTTTATGTTTAAATTTTTTGAAAAATATCCTCCCACACCAGAAAGACTTATGGGAACGTCAAGACAGTTACCAGTAACTACGTCTGGTGGAGCGAGCAGCAGGCTTTACCTTTTGGCACTTTTATACTTCAGGACACAACCGTTCCTCTGGACGAGAAACTCAAGCCCACTATGATGCCCACAGGGGTGGGTGTGTGCGCACACGGCGCCCATGAGCCTCATCCATGAGCCCTGCATGAGGCAGGTGCTGGTGTGTGCGGACAGAGGGCATAGGCATCTCGCTCCCAAGTTCCTGGGAAGGGCAGCCTCACCTTGTCATCTCTCTTGCTCGGCATGGCCAGATGCAGCCTGTTCAGCACCTCATTCACTTTATTTCCTTTCATTTTGGTTTCAACCCGATGCGCCAGAAGTCTGTCACAAGCCTGGGAAGGTGAGAAAACGGGACATGACTCACAAGGCACCCACCTTCCGGGCTGGAGGTGGGGGTGTGGGAGAGGAACCAGACTCCGCAATAACCAGCAGACTGTGTTCCAAGCTTTGGGCCCCGCTTTGCGCTTTTCCTCAGGAGTCACATCCACTGGTGCTATCTTGGGGATCACCCCAAGATCCAGGTGACCCCCCGGGGGTAGACCACACGCTCAGGAGGGAGCAGGCCTCTCCCTTACCAGGCCAGGCCCAGGCTGGGGCAGCACCCCATGTCCCATCTGGGCTTGCCTCCACCACCAGTCACCCTCGCGCCGTGTTCCCTAGCCAGGTTCAAGGCCCACCCTGGGCCCTGGAGCGACAGCGCCAAGCCAACCAACAGCATCAGACCCTGCCATCTCTTTTCCCTTCAGGTAAAAATAACAAGGACGTAAAATGATCAGAATCGCATGTGAAATCTAACAGGAAATGTCTCTTTTCTTGTTTTTTTTTCCCTGCTTCTGAACAAGTTTCACAGTACAGCTGGCACAGACATCCCGGCAGGTCAAGAAGGGCAGCAGGCTGTGCACGAGGTTCAACCCCCCCAGGGAGGGAGTCAGATCATCCCTCTAAACCCCGTTTGGACTGTGTGGGATGGGGGAAGCCAGGGCTCAGTGTGGCGCACATGCTCTCCAACCTGGACGGAAAGCCTCTCCCCACGGCAGACACCTCTCACGAGAAAGGCAGTATAGGTGTGGATGGAGCACTGACCTCAGTTTTCACCTGAATAACCCCTTCCTCCGTCAGGGTGCTAGTCTCAATCACGGGGAATCCTGCGGCCTGCAAATCTGCAAATATTTTCTGCAGAGACAGAAGGAAAACAAGAGAGCCATTATTTATTTCTACTTCCCTACAGACAACTCTTACTGCTCTTCATGTAGGGATCAGAAATGCGAATTAGCCTGGCCGTGGCTCATTTGCAAATTCTTCTAAAGGACGTTTCCCCAAAATGTTGATTCCCCCCCATATTCTTCTGTGACAAAGAAAATACTACTGGGAGGATCAAACCAGACTACAAAAGCAAACCAGAAGCTCTCTGGAACATTCTGTGAGATGTTACCTTCTAAAAAGGAGCAAGATACAAAACTTTTAAGATGTTTTCAATACTATTTTTAAATAAAATGCATAGAGTCTGCAGCCTAAGAGAATTCCTTAGAAAACAATACAAAAATGAATAAATCACTGCACTCCAAAGGAGAGGCTTCACTTGCGTAGCTCTTCACCAAGGCCACCTCATTCAGACGTAGGGGGCCAATCCTGTGACAGGTAAGCTGCTCATGAACAAGGTCAAACACCTTTACTACAGGCTCCCACTTACCAGTTAGACTTCCTCCTCTCCTGGAAGCAGCAGTGGTCCTGGGCAACAGCGGGGTCTGACAGCTAACCGCACCACCGACTAGCACGTGATGCAAGCCACTGTGCCTCTACCTGAGCTAGCCGTAACCATGTTCCTCACGTGGTGCCGCTCCACGGTCAGAGCACGGATGGCGTACCCAGGGCAGGCTGCAGGCCACACCCTAGTGTTAACCCAACAGTCACATCGCAATGGCATCCGCCACCCACTGGCTTTCAGATTTTTCAATCTGCCTGATGACATCACTGACTGGTAGCCCAGCAATGCAGCAACTGCCACCAGTGACTCCAGGATGGAGACCTCACCCCATCACGGCTGGCAGACGGTGAAACCCAGACACGTTTCAACCCGAAGCCTGAGCACCTGGTGCAACACTCACCCTAACCTTTGGTCGTCACAACCCAAACCCTGTCTGCAGCTTCCAAAGTGATTAACCTAAAAAACTGAAATTACTTAATAGGGATCTGAGTCCTTTCAAACAAGTGAATCCTCTGATATCAGTGGTTACCTAGTTAGTAACTTGATGAATGCGCTGCAGTGCCCATTAAACCAGTACAGCTGTTCAAAACCCTCTCCCCAGGTATTAAGACGTCCAACCAGCATGAGACAGAGGTGCCAGGAAGAGACCCTCTGCACGCAGCTGGTGGGTGGCACATGCCCCAGGAGACGCAGCCACATCAAGATTACTCTAGCGCACTGGTTCTTAAAACTCGAGTGTCACCCACCACGCGGGGTGCCTCCCAGACTGGCCCTGTAGGCCTGGGTGCGTCCAAGAATCTGAGAAGCTCTGTTACTAGTGCCAACCTTCTCCAGGCAGTTATCCCCAGAGAGCTGCGGGGCCAAGTGTGGGTGGAAAATGAGGGCTAACCACCTTACCTGCCTCGTGGAAAACACAGCGAACACTATGTACTCACAGTTCTGGCAAGTTTACAGGTGCCCCTTCTTCATCATTCACTCCACGCTTACCTCCCAAACTCATTTCCCCCACAAATGTGTGTGGCAGGCACGTGACACCCCCCCCCCCCCCGACCTCCCCTCCCAGGAACCTCCTCTGGAAGCGCGGCTCTGGGCAACCAGCCGGCAGAGACCCAAAGGGCCAAAGCCCGTCTGAAGGCGCTTTGCATCCTCCAGGCACCAAGGTCGGAGAACAGTCGCATCCTAAAGAAGCACAAGACCTTTCCGGGGTTAAACACGCCGTCCTGCCAAATGCACAGGTACTTGCACAGCCTCCAAGAGCAGAGGACAGAAAATGTCAGGTGTAGTTTGCCACTAACAAACCACTGAGGGAATGATCTCAACTGTGGAATAAAAATCTTTACTAGTATTGCTGAAATTCCTTCTCGGCTTTGGTTGTCTGCAAATAAACTTAGAATTAGTACGTAAGACTCAAAACATTCAGACAGTTTACCTGATCGTCTTCAGAAAGTCCAGCTATCCGCTTCACATCACATTTGTTTGCTACAACTATAAGAGGCTGGAACAGGGAAAAAAAAAATGAAATGATTATCCTCGCGGCACAGGCTATGAACGGCAAACACCCGTCCCCACACGCACCTTGTTGATGAAGAGAGGTTTGATGTTCTGGAACAGCTCCAGCTGCTCCCTCAGCCCATGCCCACACTGCTCGGACAGATCCATCACATATAGGACCGCGGCGCGCAGGTGAGCCAGGGCCGTGATGGCCTGCATCTCAATGGTGTTCCGATCCTCCAAAGGGTGGTCCAAAATCCCGGGAGTATCGACAACCTAAGCGTCAGGTCTGTTACTCCAAAGCACATATACCCACAAATTTCTTGCCCAGCATATCCTGGAGGTGACTCACATACCCAACCCGGCCCTCTCAATACTAGTAAATAAGACGTGGGTCTCCCAACTGACATAATGAAAAAAGCAATGACGGAACAGTACCTATTCTTTAAATATTACAAAAAAGGGGGGGATGAGTCGACCCTGCAGAGCTCACTGAAGAACCAGTCAATGACCTAGAGAAAAGGACTCCTCTCTCTTTTTTTTAAAGTAATTTTTGTTAATGTTTGTTTATTTTTGAGAGAGAGAGCACGAGCAGGCGAAGGGCAGATAAAGAGGGAGACACAGCATCCGAAGCAGGCTCCAGGCTCTGAGCTGTCAGCACAGAGCCCGACGTGGGGCCCGAACTCACGAGCTGTGAGATCACAACCTGAGCTGAAGTCGGATGCCCAACCGGCTGACCCACCCAGACGCCCCCTCCCTTTTTTTTTTTTAAACATATGCTCTATGCCAAACATGGGGCTAGAACTCATGACCTACAGATCAAGAGTCGCACACTCTACTGACTCAGCCTACTGGGTGCCCCGACAGAGAGAACAGAACTGGCAAACACTCCCAGGTGTTAGGAATGACTTTATCATTTACAAAATTAAATTCAACTGTGGAAACTGCCCCATGCTTTTAAGTGGCTAATGCACATCCTTTCTAAGGACAGGGTCAGAAACGACAAGGAGATTCTGGTTTCATGAGAAGCACCACTGCTAATGTGATGTAGCCATCTGCTCTGGCAGCTGGCGGCTTCCCGAGTTCTCGCAGAAAAACAAGCACTGCACTCGGGCAGCGGCGAAGCTTGGGAGTTTTCTTCATGAGGACATTCCTGGTGACCCCGAGAACCTGTCCCACCCCTTCGGAGTCTTCCTGTAAGTGTACTGGGACCTGGGGAGAGACTATAGTTCTTCAGGGACCACCAAAATCAAACCCCATTCACAAAACCACCCAGACGTGACCCCCATGTCTGACGGTGGGAACGCTCACCTGCCAACGCAGGTACTTGTAGTCCATGTGCCCCACAAACAGGGATTTGGTCGTGAACGCATAGGGCTGGACGTCCACGTCGGCTCTCGTCACCTGAAACAAAACAACGAAAGCTTCCACAATCACATGAGCTCCAAACCTTATTCCCGGTCAAAGAAGGTAAATGTGGCACCTGTACATTATGGAGACTAATGATTTCGGCAGTAAGACAAAACAACCAAACAGCCAGAGAGCTCCCATGATTATACTCCTGATGTCAGAAGCTGCTGCTGACAGACGGACAGGCTCCATTTCCTCACGCCACCAGGCGAGGCCAGGACACAAGAGTCCAAATACGGGACGGGGAGGGGAGGAAGGCCCAGCACCGGGAGGGTACCCATCAGCTTCTGCTCTGCTCCACCCCAGCCCCACTAATGCCCCACAGAACTTGCTGTGAAGACAGACTTGCTCTATCTACACTGCTGATGCGGGGCCCACCAGCCACACGTCCCCATGAACTCTTGAGATGTGATCAGTGCAACGTAGGAACTGAACTGTTTGTTGTTTAATTTTAATCAAGTGGCCAGTGGCTTAGTGCCGCAGCACTGGCTCACGAGCATCTGAGACATCGGCCCAGACACCGCAGAGCTTCAGCCTGTCACGTCAGCACAACTCGGGGACAAAATAAAAACCTGCAAATGGGCTTCAAGTGGAAGTGCTCCTGGCAGCAAGCACCACACATATGTAACTGTCGTTGTCTGGCACCTGAGCTGTTGTTGGTCGTGAACTGACATTTTATTTTATCTACTTATTTATGAACCGACATTTTACATGCGGTTTCTACTCTGTTCAAGTCCCTCAAACTCAGCCAAGTGGTCTTGAAGCACTAAGTTACTAAATAAAGAGCACCCTCGAGTCCCAATTAATGAACTCACTCAAATCAAGAGCAACTCAGCCACTTCCCACTACGGGGACCAAATACTTGATGTGAGCAGTGACACGTCAACCAGCGACATTCACGTAGTGCCTCAGGAAGCCCACTTCAGCGAGTGCAGCCTGCCACGGTAGACCCCAGCGCCTATGGCACTACCAGCCCCAGATGAGGCTGAGACAGTACGTCCTGGGAAAGGCTCTCCGTGTTAACAAAACCGGACTTAACATCTCAAATCCCTTAGAAACTTAGGGAATGCACACTAGAACAGAAATAGCAGGCGAAACCTAGATTCAGACAGCGTCAGTCCTCCCTTCAAGTAAACGGCTATTTAAGCCGACAACAGTGCTGACAGACTAACTGGCTGGCCATCCTCCAGCCCACACGGCAGGACATAGCAGCCCTTGGGTCTCAGGTCCTCGGTCACTTGCGTTATCATCACCAGACACATACTAACCTTATTGATGAAGCTGGACTTGCCAACATTCGGGTACCCACACAGGAGCAGGGTCCTCGTATTCGGGTCAATAGTTGGCAGACGGGACAGATGCTGACGCACTGTGGGAAATAACATGTGTTTGATTTCTTAAGAGCAATTAAGAAACTCAAACTTTAAGGTCTGCTTCACTTAGCTGTACTCCTGGCCCATGGTTATACTAACCCCACTCCAACATTTACAACGTGAGCGACAGAAAAAGTATGAATAGAAAAAAAATTGCCTGCAGAGGCACCAGAGCACACAGCAGCGTACCTCCCGACTCTGGCTGTACCCACAGTCCTGTTCAATAGGTCAAAAGTGGGGCCAGAAACACACATCTAAGCGGTGCCCAGACCGCTCTTACTAAGCGGGATATATGGAAAGCATTTTGGAAGCAAACGTGCATGCCACCACTTCCTGCCAAGGCGCTGGGCTAGTTCCACGCAACGACTAGGTGCATCACCGGCAAGGCGGTGACACCCTGAGGCCACCCTCAAGACTAAACAAAGCAGTCAAGTACTACAAGCTTGTCGCAAATCATTTGTAAGATGCCAGGAAAGGGGGAACAAACCCAGAGGACTCAAGACTTCAGCGTAAAAATCTATGCATAGAGGCAAACACCTGTTTCACTAGAAATACTACTTTAATTCAGAACCGTCCTTTAATTTAACTAGCTTTAATTAAACTATCATGCAACAAAGCTGGAGTGGCAATTTCATGCTAACACATATTGCAAAGCTTTTACTTTTTTAAAGTTTGAGAGCGAGGGTGTGCACGTGCACACACACATACATGCATGGATGAGTGGGGGAGGGGCAGAGAGAGAGAGAGAGAGAGAGAGAGAGAGAGAGAGAGAGAGAGAAAGAGAGAAAGGGAGAAAGAGAACCCCAAGCAGGACCTCCACTGTCAGCATGGAGGCTTATATGGGGCTCAATCTCGTGAACTTCAAGATCATGACCTGAGCCGAAATCGAGGGTCGGACGCTTAACTGACTGAGTCACCCAGGCGCCCCTCTTTTATTTGAGAGAGACAATGTGTGTGAGTGGGGGAGGGACAGACAGAATCTTAAGCAGGTTTCATGCTCAGTGCAGAGCCCAGCATGGGACTTGTTCCCACGACCCTGGGATCATGACCTGAGCCAAAATCAAAAATCGGATACTCAATCAACTGAGCCACCTAAGCGCCCCAGATATTGAAAAGCTCTTAAGATTTTTTTTTAAACTTTACTTTTAAATTTATTTTTTAATGTTTGTTTATTTTTGAGAGAGAGAAAGAGCACAAGCAGGAAGGGGCAGAGAGAGAGAGGGAGACAATCCCAAGCAGGGCTCCACCCTGTCAGCACAGAGCCCAACACGAGGCTGAATCCCACTAACTGTGAGATCCTGACCTGAGCTGAAACCAAGAGTCGGATGCTTAACCGACTGGCCACCAGGCGCCCCAAGTCCTCTTAATAGAACAAACAATTTATGGGGCACCTGGGTGGCTCAGTCGGTTAAGCTTCTGACTTCAGCTCAGGTCATGATCTCAAGGCTCATGGATTCAGAGCCTGGAGCCTGCTTCGGATTCTGTGTCTTTCTCTTCTGCCCCTCCCCTGATCGTACTGTCTCTCTCTCTCTCTCAAAAATAAATACGTAAACATTTAAAAAAATTGTACTAGTAATTCATAAGCATTTTAAGCACCAGCTGCTTTTTCAGTAATAACTAGCCTGTCACAGTTTCTCAAAGGATGGGTGAGGAATGGTTTGATCCTGTTAGGTCTAAAATAAAACAAAAAAGAGCACCCTAAAAATAAGTTCTTGACAAGAATCGAGGACCTTAACAGCACACACTAAACACTGTCCTTGCTTACGTAAAAGAGGTACCTTGTTCCAAATACTCCAAGCTCTGCTTCTGTCTTTTGATGATTGTACACATCCGGCCGAGGGCGGCTCGCTTCAGCTGCTTGCAGCGGTAGAGAGAGTCTCCGTATTTCATAAGCCGCACATAATCCTTAGCCACGCTTAAAGAAATAAAAAGATGTAAGATACTTTTCACCTCAGGCAATAATTTAAAAGACACTGTATTAAAAGATACCTTACTTGTCCACTAAATTTTTGGCAATATTTATTTGTCCCAAGGCCAACTTGTAATGGTCCTTGTCATAGAGAATGTTCATCAAATCAGCATAAAATGGATGGATATCCTAAAACAGAAATAAAGCGGTCATTCTGGGACAGGTTTCTCATCCCCATGTGTCAATAATTCTTGAAGAATAATTTTGAAGTATGTCCTGCCTTTTCCACGCTCTTCAAACCCCAGATCTCCTCCCCGGTCCATTCTCCTGACTGAGGACTGTTTAGAGTTCAGGGGTCACTTCTGCCTGCCCATCTAGCCTGGGCCCCAGACTGATCCCCCTTTACCTCATCTGCAGGTCTCCATTTGTGCACCAGACCCCCTGCCCCTCCTACTCAAGAGCTGAAACCAGGCCTGCAAACGCGCTGTCATTTCCCCCTCAGCTCTAACAGTTGGAAAGCTCCCTGAACCCACAGCCCTTCCGTTCCTTTGCTCCCCTTCTTGGGGAAGGTCACAGAGAGGTACTGGCTCTTCTTCCTTTGAACCCAGTGTAGTCCGAACCGTGTCCACCCGTCCTTTAGAGCGGCTCATCAGATCAGCTCCCTCCCCGGACTCCTTTCATCTTACCGGAGCGTTCCACAGCACCAGACAGCTGACCACTCACGCTTCCTGGTGCTTTCCATTCAACTGGCCTCTGGGACCAACTGTCTGGCTCTTCTCTCCCCTCGCCGCTCCTCAAACTCCCTCGCTGGCTTATGCTTCCACCCAACATTAAACATCAGAGTTCCTGGGAGCACTTTTCTCTCCAGGTTCAGCTCCTAGGTGACCTCACGTGGATCTAAAGGCACTGACGGGCTCCTGAGTGCCACCGCACATCTCCAGGCCACACCTCTCACAGAGCTCCAGACTACTCGCACTTCTGCTCGGACACCTTACCAGAATCTCAGACCAACGCGTCCAAACCACCCCCTTCCTCGTCCTCAAAATGCCCCACTTCCCCGTCCGGATGGATGGCAACTGCAAGATGCCCAAGATGCCACGAGCAAGTTCAGCTCTTCCAACCACCACCAGCTGTTTATGTCGGTGCGTCAACCTTCAAGGGGTCTCCTAACCCCATAGGCCACGCATCCTCTAAAAGAGAAGTCAAAGCTCGGCACATCCCACACTCAACTTGGAAGGTTTCCCTAACAACAGAACTCAAGCCCTGTACCAGGCGGCTCACTGACTCACCATCTCTGACTCATCTCCAGGTACCCTCCCTCTCACACACCCTGATGGGTCTTCCTGTTTGAGACCTCACACTCTGTACCTCGGGGCCTCTGCACCTGCTGCTTCTGCGCCTACAGTGCTTCTCTCCAGGCAGCCCCGCAGCTCGTTTCCTTCAGATCTCTGCTGCAAACTCTAGAGATTTCTAGGTTTACAACCTTTCCCCTCACTAGATGAGGACAGGGACTTATTACTACTGTGTTCCCAGGGCCTAGATAAGTACCTAGATATGTACCTAGATAAGTACATATCAATGATTCCATGAACGTAACTATGCTAACCTTCTGCTCTAAAATTCTCGGATAGCTAACGTTAAAAAAAAAAAAAAAAGAAAAAAGGAATACATGATGTTCACAATGTAAATGTATTGTATTAAAAAATGATACCAAGGATGAAAAAGATAAAACTTCTTACAAAGAACCACAAAAATCTGGTGCTAATTAGTTCAAAGCATTTTTTGCCCAGATCAGGTGTTTCCAAATATCACACCAGTTTCCAATCATCTTACTCTTCTGGTTCCTTCTAGGTAATTTCTAGGGTACCCACCCTTTCCCAACAAACTATCCACCCATTCAACGAGCCTCTACTGAGCACCTACAGCATGCCCAGGAGACACGTGTAAAGTTAAGTGCCTGTCCGCTAGCAAAAATCTCTACTCTTATTTTAAGCACATCTGTAATTTTTTAAACAAACTACTGTCACCTTAAATATAAAAGAAACTCTTGTCACATAAACCAACTTTTGCCTCCTGGCTTAACCTAGCTTTACGGACTATCTGGGGACAGTGGCCAATTTAGGCTCTCACCCTGCACTGTGGAGCCCACCCCAAATAACCCTGCAGCAGTGTTCTCCTACACGGGGATTTCACGAGCAGTGTCTGCTCTTGGCTTTCCACGGCTTAATCAACAGGTAAACTCTACTATGCTAGAGAGTGAAGACTTCAACTCTTTTAGCTGAATGCAGAAGTCACAGCTCCCCCAGGCAATTTCTTCCCACCAGTCAACAGAGAGGACAGTGCTGAACTGACCATCACTGGCTGATGAAACAAACAGTGGTGGACCTCAGGCCACTGCTACAACCTGAGGCCACAAAGGAGCCTTGGAAAGAGGAAGCCCATACAGGTTGGTGAGCTGCCAGGTTCACAATCCATAGCTTTTATAGAGCTTGGGTTGGTGCCTGCAATCCTAGAAGTTACAAAAAAAAAAAAAAAAAAAAAAAAAAAAAAAAAAAAAAAAAAGGTGGCGGAGATAGCTTTGGGCCCTCTTATATGGAGTTTAGTTTGGGGGAAAGGAAGAATACTAAGGAATAAAAAAAAAAACCTGTGTTCTTTTCCCAGCTTTGCCATGAACTCACAAAGTCTGACCAGTGAATAATTTTGTTTCCTTCATTATCTGTCAGATAAGTACACAAACTGGCTATAAATTATCTGAAAGCTCACATTGATATTGCCATATGTGTCCCCCAGAATCACTTACATCCAATTTGGGGAAATCTGTTAGAATCTGTGAGAGTCTGTCATGGTAATTTTGTTGAGTAAATTTGACTTTCCTCATGTAAAAATGTCTAATGCGGTGAATTTGGTAATGTTTATGTATAACTGTTGGAGTCTTCCGTTGAGTCTTCGATAATGTCAGGTCAATAAAGTCCTGTAATTAAATAAGAGACAGTACACCAAAAATGTTTATTTTCTATCCACTTATCTGAAACCTCAAAAACCAACAATTAACAATACCATACATTTTAAACTACAAACACTTTTCCTAACTAAATCTTTACTCTTTTATATCCAACTTGGTTCATGTTCATAGTTTTTGGCTTTTAAAAAACATTTAGCAGATGGCTGCCTAAATAAATTTTATCCCTTATTAAAAAAAAAAAAATGTTTACTTGGAGAAAAAGAGACACGGAGACACACGAGCGAGTGGGGAAGAGCAGAGAGAGAGGGAGACAGAGAATCCCACATGGTCAGTGCAGAGTTTGATGCGGGACTCGATCCCACAAACTGAGATTGTGACCTGAGCTGAATCAAGAGTAGGACATGCAACTGACTGAGCCACCCAAGGAGCCTCATCACACACTTTCTTAATCTCACCTGTATTTCCAATACCTAGAACCCTCTGAAACTTTAGTCATAGAACTCAAGCATAAACCAGAAAAAATATCAAAGGGAAAAAATTCTGCAATTCAATCCACGTATCTTTGACTTTGGAAGGACGTTAAATAAGTAAACCTAGGTGTGGAAAGTGACTGAGAATGTACACGACTCTTGCTCGTGTACCCAGTGCAAACAGAGACATCAAGCCCAGAGGCCTCCCCATCCCCTCCGTTAGCGGAGTCTAGGAATCCGTAAGACGCCAGTTCAAAAGCCTGACCTACTTCACGAAGTTTTCCCTGACCCGCCCCACCTCTTGGGGAGGAACCTCTCCTCTCTAGGAAGGACTCCAAGGTCTGGAGAAGATCCCTGACACTCAAGGAGTAGACACTCACCTCTGGGGAAGGACCCTGACATCAGAGGACGAACATTCACCCCTGAGGACGGACCCTGACGCCTGAGGCCAGAACCTTAACCCTGAGGACAGACTCTGACGCCTGAGGACGGACCCTGACCCCTGAGGAGGGACTCTGACCCCTGAGGAGGGACCCTGATGCCTGAGGGGGGACCCTGGCCCCTGAGGACGAACCCTGACACTTGAGGAGGGAAACTGGCCCCTGAGGAAGGACCCTGACGCCTGAGGAGGGACTCTGATGCCTGAGGATGGACCCTGGCCCCTGAGGAGGGACCCTGGCCCCTGAGGACGGACCCTGACGCCCGAGAAGAGACCCTGATGTCTGAGGACGGACCTTCACCCCTGAG